AGAGAATTATAAATTCTAGTATTAATGATATTACATGTGATATTTTTAATCTTGTATATAAATTAAAAAATTATATAACAACCAATGCAAATTATACAAAGTGAGTTAATAAAAAAATGCATTATTATATTAGTATTTAACTAAAAATATATAAAATGATGAATATAAAATTATATCGCTAGCATTTAGAATGTGTGAATATAATTTACCCTTAAATATTAATACCAAAATTACATTTTACAATGTATGTTATGCAGAGCGTTTTGTTTCCTCGCCAATATAAATCACCGCAAATATAGCAATTATACCTTTCATTCATTGTGACCACTTATTTCAGTACTTTGTTGTGGGCTCTTCAAAAATTTGTTCAGTTCGAGTTAGCTCAAGCACATTTGAGGCCTAGATAAAAATTATATTAGAAACTTCCAACAATGTAATATATATGTATATTTATTTTAAGATGATTTTTCTCACTTTCTGTACCAAAAAAAAATGTAAGCTATTAAATGTAATATACTTTAGAAATTAAAGCTTATTAAATTGATAAAAAAAATTATCCAATTATTATTTATTTAAACACAGGTGTGATTGTATTAATTTTAATTTTGAAAAACATCATTATATTCAATAATATATATGTCATATCATCAATGCAGAGTCTTCAACGCTAACATCAACAAAATACTACTAACTGATTTGTTATTTAAAAAAATATATACTTTTCCCTTTAAAAATCAACAATGAAAGAGTATTTTCTGGTGGTGACAACTAAGGCAACTTTATGAGCACTAACAAAGCAGATCATGTGCATTGTGGCATTTTTGCTTTCTTCTTAGTAGCAACAATGGCCTACTCACCACAACTCTCTAGCCTCGTGCAGAATATTGCAAATATATAATTTTTTTTATTTAGTTTTCGATATCTGCAAATATTTCACAAGAACACAAATTAAAAAGTAGCAGAGTTCACTATTATTGTAAAAGATTATATAGTTCAGTATAGAGGAAAATAATCCATCTTCTACCAAAATGCTACACCTTTCTCAAACCAAACTAAATCCACAGTTGCACCTAAACAACAGATTAATTCATTGCAGTGACACTACAGCATAAATGACAATATATATATATGTATGTATACATCCAGCAGATACATAGATTCATAGTCAACTACAAAGCTTTTCAACATAACATGGATCCGATCATACACTAGAAAGAAGAAAGAACAACCTTTTAAACATAAACATTGCATTTGACTTGTGAATCCATAGCAAACCAACCAACATGCATGTAAGTACTCCACAATAACAAGAACGTACTGGTCATTACAAATCATGTAAACATATACAGCTATAACGTAAGCATTTAATGGAATCAATAATAAAGCAGTAGCCAAAAGAATTACAGGAACATAACTCAATTTAACTCATTCATAATTTTCTCTCACTTATTATAATTAGTTTTTAAATGATTTTAGAATATAGTCCCAAAAAAAGCATGACTAAGCGCCTTCGGTATTACTACTGTCTAAGTATGTAATACATCTAGTGATACTGTTCCGATGTGAACACAACATTGAGCATATCTCAAGAAAGATGGATTACTTTCTTCAGCTGCTTTTATCCTTATTCATTTCTTTATCAATAAATTAGGTAATCGGGGGATTACTTTATTCATTTGATCCTCTTTTATGCCTTTCTTGGGACAGGATGAAACTTTTCAATTATAAGACCCTTAGCACGAGCCCAGACGATACCTTATTAATACTGTTATAATATTACCTCCTAAACCTTTAACCTCTAAATATTATACACACAACCAATCTTGTGCCTTTTTTCTCTCATACATGTCAAGTTCATCTTCAACAAACCCTCAACCACAGCTTAACTCTACGCTAAACATTCCTCCTGACCCTGGTAACAGTTTCCAAAACCCTTTAACAGAACCTATCTCCTCAAATATTCACACCATTCCCATTCCACAAAATCATAATTTAAACCAAACACTCATCAGTTTTAAGCATGTATTACAGTACTATTGGAGGGGTATTGATCATAACATTGCATCTCCAACCCCTCCCCAAATATGGCTAGCACAAAACGTCTATCCTCTGGTGACCCCAATGCGTATGATTAGTTTCATTCTGAGTCTAATAAGCTTCATGTTAGCATGTTGCTCCTTCATGGAAACTGAGCTTTACAAAACACATGTTGGTAGTGGTGGCCATCATTATGGTCCTTTTCTGGTATTCTTTGTGGCTGTGGTGCACTTTCTTTTTGTGATTTTCCTTCTGTTCTTCAGCTTCTTCACATCAGCATACGAGAGGTTCAAGAACCATATCTTCTTGAAGTCTATAGGAGAATTTATAGTTATGCGGGCCATGTCCCTTCTGATTTCTGGAATTGAAGAGAATCATCAAGATGGGTCTTCTGACATAGCTGCATTGGTAACGTGTGCTTTTCTCACAATTGATTCACTTTGCATAATCATTTTGTTGAAGCCTGGCCATCACTACTCTCTGCTTGATGCTATTTTGACGTTAACATTACACTTGGGATTGGAGGGAGAAGGAATCTATGCCGTCACTGCAGATGTTTTTGTGTTTGTGATGATGGCTATCAAGAATTTTCTTTGGCATCACATAGCCCACATGCATGGTAGAGATAACCAGCAGCTTCAATTGGTTTGGTTTGATTCACATCAAGTTGTTGATAATTTCTCTTCGGTGTGAAAGCGGAACAAGCACAGGCATATATAAGATAGAATTAAGAATGATGTTAGTAATATTCTCCAATATTTTGATAATTATTTTTATTGTCAATTCAAATTGACAGAATTGTTAAATTGAAATGTTAATTTTAGTTAGAAAATAACAATAACATTAAAAATAATTATAGCATTGTATATAAGTTGTATTCTTAAAGATATGTGTAGAAAAATACTAATACTATTTTCTATTGTTAGTTAAATTTATTAGAAATCATAAAATTATGTGTATCTCGTTTTTTCTCTCTTCTTTTTTAATGAATTGTATTCTTGATTTTATAATTTTTTATAAATTATAAAATATTAATGTTAGAATTAGAAAATAACACTATGTATGCATAACATGAAATTGAAATACCTAAAGAGTTATACAATGAACATGTAAGAATTAGTTTGAAAAAGAAATTGTTGAGAATGCAAGGGGATAAAATCAATAGCACATGAGATAACTACAAAAGCAAACTTTATACTACATAGACACACCTTGTCGAACTGCAACATAGGGTTTTATATCGACTCTATTAATAATTATTAGAAATATAAGGAAGTTAAATATTGAAAAAAAAATCATCAATATAGATCATGAGACAATTATATAAGTTTACTATGTCTTAACTCAAAATCTTAAAGATATAAATTTTATGGGTTCTTGTCAATTATATGTTACTTAATATATTCATCTTTATATAATATGAAATTTTTTATTCACATTTATACACTAACAAACTATATATATATATATATATATATATATATATAAATAAATAAGTACACACATATAAGTAAGAAACACATAAGTGTCCCAGAAGTTAAAAAAAAAAAAAAAAAAAAAAAAAAAAAAGAAGCCCTCGTTCTCATTTAATATAGAACACCTTGTGTGGGTTGTGGGTTATTGATGTGAGCGCATGACTTTGACTGCCATATTAAGGCAAAACACAGTTAAAAGCAAAATGTTGAATACTTTATAATTTCTCTATAAATTAGAGTTTTGTGCCTAATTTTTTGATTGTATTTTTTTTTTGATAAATTATTTAATTTGATATCAATGATGCTTTATACATAATTGATAATCATGTTTTTATTTCTTATTAACAACTTTCAGAGAATGAAAAAAAGATTATTTGATGTAAAGGTACAACTTAGGACCTAGTAAACATATTTGAGTCAAAATGATTTACTTTTTCCTTTAGAATTCCCATCAGCAGTTAAGAAATAGATACAAAGCATATAAATGCATGGAAAAAATATGTATATGTTATTAAGCATGTGGTCAAGGATCTCATGTCTTGGTGTATAAAAAATTATTTGAAAAGAAATGTATGTTCCTTGAATGGATCTTAGTAATATTTTAATGGTTAATCCTTGACTTTCTATTGTAGATACTTGAGTTCACCAAAATTGTTTTTCAAACATGTTTATCTATCATATATAGATCTGTATATGATATTAAAGTTTTCCTACTAAAGTTCTCGCGTGATATTTGTTAAACTTTAAAATATTCTTTGTATTTAATCACTCCATTTATGTTTTTTTTCTTCTATTTAACTTATATATATGTTAATTTTTCATGTTTCCTACCTTTCAAATTTTAATTTTTAAAACCTTTGTAATTATTTTTTCTAAACTTATTAAAATAAATAGTAATCAAAATTACTGTAACCATAAAAAAAGAGACAATTCATCCTTCTCTATTTTTTTTATTAAATAAAGAGATAATAGAGTGAATGATTACTTAGAAGAATGCCCGATGTTTAGAGTAAAGTGGAGAAGAAAGGGGGAAAAAACTAAATTTTTTTAGAACATAAACAATAATTTACAAGTAGTTATAAGAATAAAATAGTAAAAAATATGTATACACAAAAAAAGAAATATTCCTTTTATTATTAGTATAGATATAGATTTTAAATAAGTTATAAGACATTATTTTACTATAAATATTAATCTAAATTCAAATATAAAAATTTAAAAAATGTATATTCATTTAGTATTTATTAATTAATATTATTTATTTATTTATTATATTCTGTTATCAGTCTCCCACATATAGTACTCAAATTCCTTTTTCGATTTTTTCATTATATGAAATATAATTTAAATAAGATAAATGAAAAGTCAAAATTAAAAACCCTAAACTAATAGTAAATTAATACAACAAAAAAAAATTGAAAGGCTAAAAATACAAGAAGTTAATAAAAGAAAATTAAAAGAATTTTGCAACGATAATTTTTTTTTAAAAGCATAAGTGACAACTTTTAATAAGGGCTTTCATATTACAGATAAATTGATAGACGTATATAATAATTAAAAATTTGTAATTTATATTGTGCAAGACAAACACAGATACTAATTACAAAGGGGAAAAAAAAATTGTGACAATGCATGTCACACGTACACCCGATTATATTCTCGAATTAGATCTCTGTAAGAGAAGTATAGCATGGGACAAGATTATCACATTTCAGACTTTGCTGAATATGAATCCTTACAAAGCTTAGAAAGTGGAAACAAGCACCTCCTTTTGAACAAGTATCCTTGATTTGATTCCTTTCCTTCAAAGGTTGATTTAGATTATACCTCCCTTCCTGGTTAGGATTACGCAACAGGATGCTGGTTGCTCTAGAACCATTTATAAAAACCCAATAAAGCCTTCATTCCACACACAAACACACACCTTGGTAACAGATCCAAATGAACCCAACTCAACCCATGATTATATTAGTGATGATAAAACTGTTCAGTACAAGGGAGGTAATCAACTGTTTAGGAATGGGTGGCTCTGGCAATTTGTTTACCATTACCATAGTTCGGTAGCTAATGTTAAGCATAGTCATGTCACTGGAACTAAAGCTGTAGTCATCCTCTGGTGACCCCAATGCGTATGGTTTAGTTATTCTGTAGTTTGTTGTGCTATTCTGGAGCCTTCATGGAAACCGAGCTTTAAATAGTAATCATCCGCTGGTGATTGTAACAAGCAGCATTAGTAACATCGCTTCTATGATGGTGCAGATAGCAGACACCACCAGTGACCTATCTTTCAACAACTATGGTATCATTTTATAGTTTTCTATCACTCGGTAATCTTTATATGCCCCAATTTGTTATGAATGGTACATATATTGTATATACCCACGGCACCTAAGAAACCGGTTCCCCTGCTCCTTCATGAAGTTTATATTCTTTTTTCTTTTTGACAAATCATGAATCTGTATCTTATGTGATATATTGATAATGAGAATCTGGCTTTTAGGACTAAGTTGATTTTGACTAATACAATGCATATTTGTTTCCTTTTGTCTTTTTTTCTTTTTAGAAAAATAATCACGTTTAACTCTCTTGGAAAAATATTACCGTACAAGAGTAATTAACTTATATTATAACAAGCTATATATAAATCTCTCTATATATTCATATAAATAAATAAATAGATAGATAATGTTGTGATCATTTGTTCTCTCCAATATGCTTTCCTTCAAAACCTGTTTGACACTCTATAAACACTATAAACGCAATGACTTCATCCCTTGTTTGAAAACAGGAAAGCAAAATAACAAGTTTTGCATACCTAAATTGATATGAAGAGTAAAACAAGGCATAAGTTAAGAAGGTTGCCCAGCACCCCGACAGATTTTGGAAATATTGATATATATACAGAAGAATGTACAATTAGAATGATTAGAAAGTTAAGACAATACCTCTGGAAGCCTTAAATGTCAAAAATGGTCTGCAGTCTCGTCTGATATCTTAACCTATTCTTCACATTCATATTAATTTTGGTCAGCAAAATTTGTTCTTTTCCTTTCCTATTCTTGAATTGAACTGTAATGAAGTTATGCATTCACGAAGTGTTGAAGGAAAGCTCGTAAGAGAGAAATAGTTGGAACACTATAGTAGTCAAATCAACTTAGTCCTACAAGCCCATATTTTCACCATCTCAATTCTTCCATGTGAAATCCCAGCTTCACGAAGAAACTGAAAAACAATGAAGATTCTCGAGTTTCACTACCAACCTTGTATCATATCCTTTCTCGAACACATCTTATTTCATGGTATAAACATATGTATCACTTCAAAATGAGATGAACTACAACATTAGTATGCATATCCAGTGAATCCAAATTCCTCTGCAATTTTTATTAGCTCTTTGCTGCAAATGGGAATTTATTTTGTTTATTTGTTATGATGAGTAGTAAGATGTTTGGCTTCTTTTGCCATAGATGCCAACAATTTTCTAAGTACAATCCATAGCACCTGCTGCTAATGGAAGTTTATGAATTATGATCACTAATATTATTTCCTGTGGCCGGAAGAGGATGAAAATTCCTCTATTTTGACATTAAGTGAGAAAACAAGCAGGTGAGGCTTAATTAGCAAAACATGGACCTCCATTATTTGATGTTTTTTGCACACGATATCACTTCAATATAATTTATTTACGCCTATTTTGTATAAACAGGTATTCTGTTGTAATTAGATTATAGCTTTCCATAACCCTTGTAAGCTTCTGCCGACTATATTTTCAACAGATAACGTAGCTTTTAACAATCATTCTTGCGTTATAAAAATGTTCCTCGTCAAGAAATTACTATCAACACATTAACAACAAACAAGAAAATAAAAATGTGGAAGTTGAAAACCATTTTGTGTTGTGTAAAATGTGCATTTCCATTAGAAGAAACAGCCGAATTCCACAAAATATACAGTAAGAAATAAAGACCACTAACTAACCTTGGTTAGAACCCTCAGTCTTTTCCTTGCCCTCAACCTTCTTCTTGTGCTTCAACAACTTGGGCCTGGGCTTGACGGGCTTCAAAAACCCAGCCTGCAACCTGACCATCTCCCTCAAAATCCCAATCAACCTCTCTTCAACGTGGAGGCCATTGGGCTCGAGGACGCGCAAGGCCCTAGCCACAGCCTCCATGGTGCTGACGCAGCCAGCATAAGGCTCCTTCCTCAGAATCAAATCCGAATCGTAAATGGTTCCGCCGCTAACACTCTCATCGACGGCGAGAGAAACCCTAGTGGCGAACGTGGAGAGAAAGCCCTCGCTGGCCTTCACCATCTCGCGCGCGTGGCTCCACGTGGCGTCGAAGGCGATGAGGAGGAGGCCGGGGGGGAGCTCGGAGGGGCGGAGGGCGGAGATGTGGGTGGCGGGGGCGGCGGGGAAGAGGTAGAGGGCGGGGGGAGCGGCGTCGAGGAGGGGGGAGAGGCCGGGGCGGAGGCGGCGGGCGGTGAGGGCGGAGGCGTGGAGGAGGGAGCGGGTGAGGAGGGGGGTGGTGGAGAGCTTGTGGCGGGCCTCGTGGGGGTGCTGGAGGATGAGGACGCGCGTGGTGGTTGGGATGGGGTCGAGGGGGAGCACGTGGCAGAGACACACGCGTGTCGGACGGTGGCACTTGGAGCAGATGGAGCGACGCTGGGGTGAAGGGGCTTCTTCTTCTTCCTCCGTTTCCGGCGCCGGTGAAGGGGTGTCTTCTTCTGCTTCTGCTTCCCGCTCCATGCAGTGCAACAAAGTTATTACTATCGATTAATTTGATTCATTATTTTTTAACTAAAAAACCTATCACGTTAAAAAAAATCAAATTTATTAAATAATTAAATCTCATAACAAAAAACAATTAAATATTTTTAAATCCTATAATTTTACTAACTTTATCTTGTCTATAATTTAAAATAAATTTTGTAATCTTGCCATTAGTTCTTCGTAATATTATTTCTATGTGAATGATGAACGTGAACTTTTTTTAAATTCATATGATAGTCATATATTTGATTTTATGGACAACAGTAGTTTTATTATGTAATTATTAACAAGTTCATCCAAATCATATTTTATAATAATGAATATTGACTATTAACAAAACAATCTTGTATCATTATTAGGGCTTGTCACTTATTAATTTTTTTCTTCACCTTTACATTGTTGTCCAAAAAATCAAACACATTACTATCACATAAAAGTCAATAAAATCATATCATTCACACATAAATAACATTATAAAAAATTAACAATAAGAACAAAAAGGAATTAAAAAAATGTAAATATAGCAAGTAAAAAAATATATTCTAAATTATATGAATTAAAAGGAAAAATAAATTAAACTATAAGAATCAACAAAAATATTTAACCTTTTCTTTATTTGATAAAGAAATATAACTCATTGGTTGACTTTTATGGGATAAAAATTATAAAATAGTACTTCTCACAACTTCATGTTAAGAATAGACATAATTAACATTTTATGTGTTAGTAATAATATAAAAAAAAAATTAAGTTAAATATTGATAATAAATAATATAAAAGTTGATTTTATTTCATAAGTCTTAAAATTTGCCTTCCTATATTTCTTGTGAAGAAATATTGTTTTAGTTGATTGTTGACACATAGTATGTTATAAAAAATGACTTTGAATTTTAATTTAAAATCATGACAGAGTTAGGAACTTAGTTGGTGAAATTTTCAAATGAGAGATCAATAGTGATGTTCTTCAAAATTTTCTCCACAAATTTTGTCAAGATGTCACCAAAAAATTTGTTGTAGGAAATGTTCAAGAATGGTGTCACAATCAAAATTAGCATGTAGAATCTCATTCAACATGTTCGAGGACAAGATGAGGAGAAACAAGAAAATTTTGATGTGGGTGAGAAACTAAATAATTTTGCAATGAAATTAACCCAACAATGTATAGAAATGATATTATGGACCACTTATAAGGTAGTCAATAGTAAATAAAAGTCATACAATATAAATTATTTATATATTTTTAAGAGTGTAATAGGTATGTATTTTAAACAAAATCATCCATATATAACTTTTAAGATATTTATTATAAAAATTAATAGATTTATTATGTATTTTAAGATTATTTTATATAAAATAAAAGGATAAATACTTTTAAAATGTTGTCATCTTATCTAATTTCAATATTGAATTCATTTTAAACCTATTATACTACTTTTTAATAATATTTTAAAATAATGATATAGAGACTAAAATTAAAAATAAAATATTGTATCCCTATAAGAGATATATGAATAACTAAAGCAAACTCAAAATAACATTTGATAAAGTAAATTAATATAGAAAGGAAGAATGTTTGTTTGCAAGCAATTAAATAACAAACAAAATAATATTACACATAGTACATCATAAACAAAAATACAATGAAAGGTTAGAGTTAATATGATGATAAATGATTTGAGTAAATGCATGTGGATTTAGTCATTGTCATTATTATTATATATTAAAAAAATAAAGATAAAAATTATAAGATTAAGTTATTTTAATTTTTGTTATCAAAATTATTAAATCAAATTGATTATTGACCCGATTAAGGTAGGAAGTTGGTGAGTTAGTAGTCAAATAAGTATATTATTAATTAAATTGCTTAAGTTGGTTAACATGATATAAAATTTAAAAGTAGCCTATAAATTATTTGTGACATGTTTTAAATAAATAAATTTCATGAATTAGTGGTAAGTTATTGTACTTACGAATCTTGGGAGGACTGTTATTATATGTGCATATTTTCATTTTATAAGTAAACCATTTTTAATAAAAGCACTCACTTGAATATACAGATAGACACTTTACATCGATCAATAAATCAAGCTTATTTTTTTTTATATATAAATTTAAATTAACATATGTTCATAAAAACTTATTATCTTCCTTAAAATTCAATCTATATTATAATTTATTGAATGAATTTATACAAAATTTAAAATTTATTTAATGCTTTATTACAAAAATTCAAGTTAATATATATTTATAAAAGCTAATTATCATTGTTAAAATCCAATTTATATTATGAGTTATTGAATGAAAAAATTCTATTAATAATTACTTTCAAGAACTTGATTCTCATCCTTTTTAAAAAATAATTTTTGTTTTAATTATCTATTTATTGATATATACAGATTAATTTGAAATAATATCATAGTGATTATTCCAAATACAATAATAATTTTCTTAAATTTTAATTTTTTAAAATAATATCTTTCATCACTTAATAGCATAGAATTGCGATTAAAAATATTATTTTATTTTTATACAGATTGATACAACAAGAAAGAATTATGCCTTTTATTAAAAAAATAGTTAGTAATAAAGTGACATCCATTTAATCAAGTTATGTCACATCTAATCAAGTTATGTTAATGAGCATTTCAAAATAACATAATGTTTCTGAAATAATGTACCTCGTTATTAACAGATAATAGGAACATTTCAAAAATTCTTGTTTATGAGAATCAAAACCAACAAAAAAATTTTACAGATTAAAATTAAATGTAATCATATTTACATGAATTAAAATAATATTTTATCCTAGAAAATTTCATTTCCAATCTATCATATAGTTGCATTTCTCTAGATCCGCCAGAGATGAGTTTCTCAATAGGGTTGTCCATGTTTCAAGTTTCTCCTTTAAGTCACATAGGGTATCCTTTACAAACGAACTTGTATCCTCGAATTCAGAAGCGGTCTCAGCAATACTATTGAATTGATTGCATAACATTTCAAGCCTCTCCACATGAGGTTTAAAATGCTGAACACCATAACTGGTTTTGATATAAGCATACTTCCTCCGCATATTTTTCCTCCATCTATCCAAAATATATTTACAAGGGACCTCCTTCACTCTCTCTTGTGACAGTACAGCAAGAGAGTGCCTACAAAGTATGCCTGTGAACTCAAACAAGCAGCAATTGCACTTTACATTCCAATCTACCCTGTTATATATGACCTCAACCACGAATTCGTTAGGCTTTTCCCCTATTATCACATCTTCAATGACACTATAGTGACAAATAGAACCATGGTCACAGGTTACAGAAACGTTACAATCTGCCTTTCCAAGAAACTCATGTTGAACCTCCAGAAACTTGGCATGAGTATATGCAGATTGAAACTGCCTCTCAAGTGGAGATTTGGTTACACGAGCCTGACTGTTAGAAGATGAATGTATGTCAGCTATGTACTCCTTCTCAGTCTTATATTGCAAGGCATTATCATACTCATCAACAAATTGCTTCAAAGTTGTTTGCTTTAAATATCCATAAAAAAATACATGCATGCTTTCACTACGTGGATTAACAGACATTCCAGCCCAAAACCCACCTCTTACAAAGGAAGGAACCCAGCGATGTCGCTCAAGGAACAACTCCTCCAACAATTTGTTGTCTGTGAGGCTAAAATCCTCCACAATCTTCTTCCACTTCCCTTCAAATTCATCTGTTGTAGGTGCGTCATATACAACATTCTGCAGATGATATCTTAAGGACTTAAAATTAGGATATCCATGTAATAGTTGGGGAAGTTTATTCATTATATTTGATAAACACCATCGGTGTCGTGTGGAGGGGTATACAGTTTCAACTGCTTTCTGCACGGCCTTGCAATGATCTGTTATGATTCCTTGTGGGGGTACACCTAACATGCAATGCAACAATGATTGAAACAGCCAAACAAATGACTGAGTCTTTGCATGATAACAACCCACAGCCAAACAGTACTGATTGCCCATGATGGTTAACTCCAACAAAAGTAACAAGTGGCACTTTGTAGTGATTAGAAATACATGTAGTATCAACTGTCACCACATCACCAAACGAAAGTATCAACTGTCACCACATCACCAAGCGATTCATATGCAGCTCTACTCCTTCCATCAGCCCAAACATTCCTCACACTGAAGAAATCATCCAATTCAATCGCGTAGAAGAAATTTCTATCTTGTTCTTGCATCCTCACCAAATACTTCTGAAGGGCTTCAGCATCTCCATTCTCCCCTTTCAAACGTCTTTCTCTCTGTACGTAGTTTTTGCAACCATTTTGGTCTGATATCCTCTCAACACCCATGTCAATAACTTTTTCATCCAATGTCCTTTTACCCCTTGTGTCAATATCACTTGGGATTAGATGATGTGAACCCAATTCATGACTATGACCGAGTGTAACAGCGTTAATTCGGTAGGTTCCATCTTTACGTAAAGTCAAATTGATCCTAGCTGCACAATACTGTTTCACAGCAAAAGCATGTCTTGTTATTTCAGAACATACAAGTATTAAATATTTAACTTTGCCATCACGTCCCTTTTTTGATGTTCTTGTCATGACGCGGAAGCCTACTTGGTTGGCATATTTTGTGTAATACAATCTCGCCTCAGCCTCTGAACTAAATACCATTCCTGGCTGTGGTTGTGGCACAGGAAAAACATCATTTTCATCAGAACTATCGATTTCAAGCTTACATTCTTGTGGTGAATGAGAGATCAAGTTTTCCTCACACCCACTAGAATTAATATCTAATGGAACATGTGATTCACATTGATCACTCATTTCCTGTAAGAGAAACAACCGTGTCAAAACTCCAGGAGTATTTGTTTGCAATTGTAGCTACATGCTACATCAGCTGCATATTCTGCAATTTCTCACAATATCAAACATTGTGACAAAACTGCGAAGACAATCTTGTTTACTTGAATTATACTCGCACCTTGAAGATAACTTCTTAGTTCTTAGCTTGTGAGAACACACAAAGAAGGGTGAGAATTATAGTATATTAATCTTGTGCTGCTGAAGCTAGAATCAAAATATATACTAACAATTCTAGAAAAGCAAGAGCCAAATACATGATCAAATTAGTTACAAAAAATTACAATATTTGCAGAATATGTCCTACCAAGACATGCGAAATTTATAAAAATGAGTGAAAAATGGATTTCACGAGAGAAGTTGGTAAATACCCTCAAAATGGTGCTTGTTTTGTGCCCTAACTAGTGTTACTCTTGACTTCCTCTCAAGTGCGGGGAGCGATCACAGTCTGTGCTCTGAAAACAGTGCTTTTTGTTTGGGAAGGAGGAGAAGACATAAACGCAACGTTTCATTAAGGTATGGTCGTTTTGGATTTTCATTGATTTCTTCTTGTTTTATAGAGAGCACAGTATCTTGCCGGGAGCTAATTCTGTTTAAGGGAGTTATATATTAATTAATGTTTGAATTTAAAAATTATTAATTAAATTGAGACATAATATAATCAAATCTCTTGTTTCAATGCTTTTCTGTCTTAGAATATAAGATATTGCATTGATGTTTTTAAATTCGATTTTATCTATATTAAAATAATATTTAATTACCGACAATTACATCTAATAAATATAGATTAATCTTAATTTATTATTAATAGTTAATAATTTAATAAAGCATGCGACAAATTAGATATGAAGAAATTTGCGGTTTGCTTTGGCTAAAAGTCTAGGTTAAACATGGTAAGATGGTATCCATCCATCTTGATTTATTGCATTAAAAGTTGGATAAAAAAGAATATTTAGCTTTCTATTTTTAATTCATCAATCATGACTTTGTCAAAATTATCATTTTTTAAAATAAAAAAAATATGATTTTCATCCTTCTAAAATTTTTTAAAAGTTTGATTTTAATCTTTTTAATTTTTTTTCCTATTTTAACCTCTCTAATTTTAAAATACATTACTTTTGATCCTTGAAGTAGTTTACATAATATCTTATAATTATTTTTAAGTGTTATCTAATATTTTTACCAAAAAATAAGTGATATCTAATATATTATAAAAGTTAATAAACTTACTATATAGTAGTTTATGATTAGAAGACAATATAAAACTAATGCATAACTATTTTTAACTGTTATTTAATATATTGAAAGACTAAAAATTATACACTTTTAAAATTAAGAGACTAAAATAAGATAAATAAATTTAAATAGATTAAAAATGAATTTCAATAATCTTAGTGAGATTAAAAATATAATTTACCTTATTTTTTTCTATCACTTATAGATTTCTAGTTAATTCAAAAATTTGAGGCACAATCAATTTTGTCCAGTCAAAATCAATTTTCATTTTTCATCGTTTCCACCATAAATCAAGCAGATTCTGACTGATTCACCATACGGTCCATACTCGTAATAACCGATGACAATGGACAATCGGACACCTACCGTTAGAATTTTCCCTATTAAAAATTGAAAATTGGTACAAGTTTTAATATAAGTAATTACTTATTAAAATCCTAGTTCACACACTATATTTATTGTCTTTTTAACTTTCTATAGGAAAAATCTGAAATATTTTTAAAAAAAATTGTAAATGTGTTAGGCATTACACATTTTAATCAATATTTTATTTTATTATTTTTATAATTAATTTTAGTACTAACATAAAACGGAAGTTATAAGACAAAGTCTAAATATATAAATCCCATTAAATATGAACATTAGAGTCACAATATTTATATTTATGAGCATACAAGCTTATATATTGTACATATAAATAGTTGCTTTTATATAATTTGTAAAAGTATAGATATTTAATTTCATAAATTAGATTATAAATAAAATTTGTAATAAATAAATTCTTAAATATATAAATTACATTGTAAATTAAAATCATGATATAAAATAATTTCTATATTGACACAAATATATAGTTAAAAAAATTAAGTATAGTAATTAAACTGACAATTTAAAATTATTGTACAAAATATTTTTTAACCAATTATGCAAGTAAATACAATGCAGGAAAAGAAAGGAAAAAAAAATGTTAACAGACCTATAATTGGGAGTGTGCACTCCAAGTTAGAGCTAGATATTAATTCGAGCTTCTAAATTAAGACTATCCCTTTTACACAATCCGACTAGTGACCAATTGACAATGGCTTCTTAACTTCTTTTTAAAACCATTCAAAAGACTAACATGTTTCTTAATTATTGAGAAACGATTTATTATTTTTCAAAAACTCACCAAGCTAATATAAACATGCGATCATTTTTCCAAAAATAAGCAAAACCAAACATAAAACTAGGAGATAAATTAATTATAGAAGATATTCTACATCTGCAGAAATGAAACATCATCCTGGGGAAAAACGTTTTCATACTAGTCACAAGTTGCAAATAAATGCTTACGGAATATTTAAATAACCATGAAAACAGATTCTTAAGAGGAAGTACACCATGATGCCCCCAAGGAGTATCCTCAGTAAACTTTAACACTCTTCGAATTGCCTAGGATACAAAAAAAATCAGTTATCTAATCTAACCCTACTTAAATATGCTCTTAAATATTATTATCCAAGAGAATCAACAACCTTGATCTGAAGGAGGCCAGTGAATCTCGGTGCTCCGTAACTCTTTGTAAAGCCACAGGCCAAAAGAAACCTCTCACAGTTACTCAACCTGTAAATTAAATTACCACAACCAGTATTTATCCCTTCAACAGAGAACTGTACAAACGTAATCCTATGTTTCATCTTCACCATCTGAAAGCAGGCAATCTTGTATTTGTTCCCTGAAAACAAGAATATTGTCACATAACCTTTGATGTGATGAATAAAGGTCGACACAAATTTCCTACCATAAAATAAATAGTAAATAGTATATTTCAAGCATACCTTAAAGAAAGCTATAGTGACTAAAAAATTGAACATAACACAAGCAATTAATTGTGCTTCCACTGAAGAACAGCAACAATACATTAAGCAATGTCTTGCAGTGTAAACAAAACCATGAGCAAGTGAAAGGGGTTCTTTCATAATTGAAGCACGGCATTTCCATAATTATAGTCAAAGAATTTAATTTTTAACAAATTGATTCAGGAATCTCACTTCTTCAAAGTTTATTATCAGTCATGGACTCGAGGCTACCAAAAGGATCCATTTGATTTTCCAGAGAAACATTATCCAAAAATCTGATATTCATATAATTTCTTTTTCAACAAGGCCAGTGGCCAAGGTCCGAGTGGCTTGGTAAGTTATTACTAAATTTGAAATACAATCAACTAATGTTGATAGCAAAACAAATACTCACCTTAGCAGACTCAAATTACCATTGTTGGCTTGCTTTGCTCGGCCAACCACTGATTGTGGTAAATCCATATAAAATTGTTCCATTGATGCAGAGTCACTTGGAAGTATCTGAAACTGACAACTTGAACAGCAGGTAATGTAAAAAATGTTACTACTTCTGTGGCTATCAACATTACTCCAATCCACAATCTCACTCTTGTCAAGTGGGCTGTTGCAGAGAGGACAGAAAGATTCTGAGGAAACAGATTCATTGGATTTGAGATTATATCTCTTCTGGCGTCTTCTAGTTGCCAAGGGAACGTTACCATCAATGATCTCTGGAATCCTGTTGAATTGGAAGGGAGTAAGTTTACCGGCTGTTCTTACAATTGTGCTTTCTCGAGATGGGTTTTCTTTCTGCAAAAAACAGGTATTCAATTAGTGATTTCCCAATAAATTTAGGTTTCTGTTAAAAGGAAAAGTAAATGTTAAAACATAAGCATCTTCTATCTTATTCTTGACCAGTAATGGTGATGAGTATGCACTCAGGCAAATCACATTCCATAAATGAAAAAAAGGCACTGAGTCACATAACGTGCAAAAACATAGCCTATCAATCAACTTCTTGACCTTGTGGAAGAATTATGTGCTCTACAAGTAAATTGCAAATTCAGCGCCACAACAACTACACAAGATTTTCCCTCTGGTTGTACATACAAAGACACATACACATGATAGCTGCATCTATCAAGCTTTGAAGCATGGGTACTCCAAAATTCATGTTGTACACATACCAGGTACTTGCCCATACTTGAGACTCGTTGGGTACTCATGGGTACGTATCCAAAACATTTTTCAAAAAAAAAATGGGTACTTAATTGGGTAGAGTATCGGACCTGTACCCAAGTCTAAAAAACAAAACCTACATATGTCAATAAAAAATTAGATTTTCTATTTTTCCTATTTTCTCTCGAATTCTCAAGTGTTGGGGATGAGCTTGAGCTTGACCAATTTGATTCTTTGCAAGATAGATGGAACTTGAAACCAAAGGATTGGTGGGTCATGTATGGTTTAGCAATTCCCAAACTTCAAATTGTTGCATTGAAACTTCTCTCACAACAATCATCATCTTCTTGTTGCGAGAGAAATTAGCGCACATATTCTTTTATCCATTCTATGAAAAGAAATAAGCTTAATCCTAAGAGAGCTAAAGATTTAGTTTTTATAAACACAAGTCTCCGTCTTCTCTCAAGAAAAAGCAAGAGTTATATAGATAGTGAGAGCAAAATGTGGGATAATGGTGGAAATCAATGGGATCCATTTGAAGGGGCTAGCATTCTTGAAGTTGTTACTCTTTCTCTTGATGAACCAATGTTAAAAGCAGTTCTTTTCACAGATAAACAAAGAGATTGAAACTATTAAAGTGTAATATATCACAATTAAAGTGTGATATCATAGTTTAGGAGTGACATTATAATCATGTTTTACGTGTTATTGTTGATATTATAGTTAAAGAGA